TTTGGGGTTATGAGTAGGGAAAGGGGGCTCAGGTATGCAGCCTAGAGTGTCACTGTTGCATTTATGAGAATTGTATTAAAACCATTGTGTTCAACTCTCCCTTGACTGACCTCTTGTTCTCACCTTTACCCACTCTATCTATATAAAATGTTTTGGTGGAGTAATGTACACATTGTGTGAGCTATAGAGTCACCATCATCACCCACCTTTACATCTCTCTTTCTGTGCTTTGCAGGCAAATGGTTCCATATGGACTCTCCAGTTACAGAGGAGGTGTACGGAAAAAGCGAGCAGTAGAGAAAAGTCCAATGAGGACCCAGTCACGTCCCCGATGTACATGTTCCAAACCCAGCGATCAGCAATGTGTCAGCTTCTGCAGAGAGACAACAAACAGGTTAGAAGGAGCATCGTTCTTAGATCATCTTATCTCACACATTTATAGAATGCTGTCCTGCATAAAGGGCTTAAAATGATCAGTTTTGGGTTGTTTTTTTTTTTTTACTCTCATAATAAAATGTTTGGGGCTTAATCCAGCACTTTCTCAAGTCTAGAGACCCTCTAGGCTCAAGAAAGAGTTAGAAAAATCAGCAATGGTGACTTTCGTATTTGTATTCTCTCAAGGTCCCTTTAGCATCTGCATTGCCTTATGAATAAGCCTCACACCATGTCCTATTCCCATGAAAACAAGATTATGCACCATGAGTCAAAGCACAGTGCTCCCAGTCTGATGAACAATAATACATTAGAAGATTACAGGCAATGATTCTAACAATACCTTTCGTTTATTTCCTTTAAATTGTATTCATTTTACATACATGCATGCATACCTGAACTTAAAGTGTGTGCGTGCTTTGCCTGAGGTTCCACCTAAAGCACCTACCCCGGAGCTGCGGGATGAATTCTATACTGTGCCCTCTCTCTGTGCCCTGCTGAGGAATTGAAGCGTGATTAGAACAAGCCCTTGTCACTTTGTTGTGCAGCCTTCCAGATGAAGGCGGCCATGTGATAGTGATCAGAGATAGAAGGCATGTATTCACCCAGACATGCACCGCGGCAAGGGGGATACTGGAGAGGATCAGATGACGGCATACAAGTGTGTTCTTACTCAGTGCTGTTTCTTTTAATAAAATGTCCTTCATGATCAGTGCTAACATGTGGCCGCCTAAGGGAGATGCACAGAAGCTCTTTCCCAGCAATCATTGTCATTATTTCAATGATTTAACAGGGTTTATGAAATGCAGAGCACAGGTATGGGGTCTACTATCCTGAATGTTGGGTGCTGAGGTTTCCATAACTTGGTGTGGTGTTACAGATAAATAATACTTTCAGGTCCTCTAGCTGTCAGAATCCCTGCAAGCTGCACCTCACAAGATCAGTATGTGTCCCCCATCTCACTGTGGCAGCCTGCTATCGTCTGTTTACATCCTGCTGTGGAGCTGCTTTCATGTGCCACTACAGTGCTCACAGCCTAGGCTTGGCCATACTCCGCTTTAAATTTGAGCTGTGTGCGTCCCTACTGGAACTACCACATTCAATCGACTTTTGGTGTACAGCTCGGCTGCAGCAAATCAGCTGGTTTGGGTATTCTGACAGCGGTTGGCTCCAGCTGTCGGAATTCAATACCTAGCAGGTGAGATTCCACTATCCGTGCTGTTTAGTATGGGGTGGGGGAACTGAGCATGGTTTTTGTTCAGCCTCTGGGGCTAAACAAGAAAAATGGCCAGCCGTAGACATCTCACGTTCAGCAAGCGGGCTAAGCGAAAGAAACCAATGGCTGTATCTGATATGCTGCAGTCATTGTTTGGCTGACAGTTTTCCTCCCGGCTCCTTCAATTTGCAAATAAACTTTTGTCGGGCGGTGCCAAGAAGCCTGAGCCTTGTATGGCCAGCTTAACTCTAGATGAAAGAAAAAAAAGAGGCAAGTTTCACACATGTGCTGCAGTAATGCTACTTACCCCCAGTTAGTTACCCCATTGCACATAATGCAGGGCAGGGTCATTGATTTTGAATGTTGCCCTGTGCACTAAACCAAGGCTCCTACCATGCATTGTGGTGTCCTACTGTGCATTGTGGTGCGCTGCACTGGAAAAATAGTGCAGGTGGGACTTTTGTTCCTTTAGGGAGTGGTGGCAGCACCTTCAAATGAATGTGCTTCCTAATGCAACACATGTTAACTCACAACATAACCATGAGGGTGTGTAGGGAGTCAAGTGTGGCTAAACTCCACTTCGGTTTTTCCCCTTCCTGCCCCTGTGACTTTCAAACAAGAAAAGGGGGGGGAGCAGTTGTCACTGGAACAGGAAGGCATAAGCTGTCAGTGAGAAGAAATCTTCCTAGTGTTGTGTACACACACCAATACAACATTGAAAAGAGTCAATTCTTTTGCCCGCTGTATTGAATACTAAATAAAAAGTTTTGGCGGGAGTTGGGCAATATATCTTCGGTTGCCCGAGAGCTCCCTCTAGTGGTGGTCAGAGGAGGCCCCTTCAGCAGCACAGCAGGATGTAAACGGAAGCCAGGAGGCGGCAGACCAAAAAGACTTGTGTTTTAGGTTTTGTTTTTTTTGTGCAGCCTGAAAAGACTATGGCAGGTAATGGATCTGCAATTTTAACCCTTTACCTGACAATGACCTACTGCCTGGGTATTGACTAGCCCTATCCCTAGACAACCAATGACTAAGGTTTTCTGGTTCAGCAGTCACAATCTAAGGGTATAAGAGCTGCTATAAACGTGCTAGAAATTGAATTTCTGGCCTACAGATTGGAAATATTATAGCGTATTCTGACAACAAAGCTTTCTGCTCTTCCCTCACTTGTAGACCTTCAGTCCAGAGAAACATCAGAATTAAACAGACAAGGATGCGTGCAGCAGCATGATGGCCAGCCGCTGGAGTGAGGCCTGCAGCACATCAGGTAACCCCCCCTGATACACACACCTGGCCCATAATGAATAGTGTCCAGTTACAAGGTCATTACATCTATACAGGTCATTTCAGGATCTCCTCCATCCCTTATTAATCTCTCAGGATTCCGCAAGTGTAAAACATAAGATTTAGTTACACAGACACACCAAATAAAAGGCGTTGCAATAAATGCGACAGTTTACCTGGAGAATGTTTGGACCATTTCCCACACCAGAAGCCACCAACAACGTTTTCCTCCTCTCTTCATACAAGCCCATGTGAAATCATTAGAGTGCTTCAGGCGGTTTCAAAGTGGAGAAACCTGTAATGAGAGAAATATGTAACTAGTGGTAATTGAAGGAGTGAAAACCTGCATGGTAACCTTTGTAAATTGACTTTAAACACACAAATCTATAAAACTTGCAAAAGTCCACGTTCTAAAAGTTTACTAAATTGGAAACAAATTACTGTTCTGTCAGTTGGCAAATAACACATGGGAACATTACACGGTTGTTTGGTCATAAAAGAACAATTCAGAAGATTCAAGCAAGTTTACAGACTGTACTTGATTTTGCATAGGGAACAGAACAGGCTGTTTTATTGACCTGAATATTGTATTTATAGGTTTTATGTCCATATGCAATCAATCTGTATTGTCACAACATGTCTTCTCTGGTCTAGTTTGTGTACAGGCCTTAGTACTCTTCATGTTGATATAAAACATTGCCTGCACATTGATGAGATTTCCTCCGCTAAGTGTGTGTGAGTGTAATATATATGTACACACACATACACACTGTAAATTTTGAATAGGTTGTAGAATGCAGGCAGCAGTGTAGAATATCCCGCTGGTGTATCGCAGATAGGAGTATCCCTCTATATTGTTTTACAGCAAACTGTTATTGGATGCTAAAGCAAACTATTCATTTTTAATGCACTAAAAACAGATCTGATCCTTTTTTGTGTGGACACAGCATGTGTGTTGTGCACTGTAGTGTGTTGCCATTAATGTAGTAGTGTGTTAAAACATGGTCACTGTAAAGCTGGCCACACACCTCTAGATTATCTGCAGATGTTCTACGGTCAGATGGAAAAAGTGCAACAGATTCCTCCATCTACCCTAAACTGTGTGGATGGAGGAATCTCCCGCTGGGCCAAGCTTCATTATCTTGCTAGTCGGCCCCGCTGGCTCTCAAAATACCTGAACAATGGCTGCGTCCAATCAGATTGTTCAGGTGTTTTGAGAGCCAGCGGGGCCGACTAGCAAGATACTGACGCTTGGCCCAGTGGGAGATTCCTCCATACACACAGTGTAGCGTAGATGGAGGAATCTGTTGTACTTTTTCCATCTGACCATAGGCTGATAGAAAAAAAATCTATAAAAATCCATGGGTATATGGCCAGTTTTACACATAAGGTTGGATGGGCCCTAAAAGTCAATAGATTACATTTCTAGCTTCCTATCATTTAAAATCTGTCTCTTTACACATCAGACCCTCTGCCTTACCTCTCTGTACATCGGGCCACCTAACACTATCGGAATGTGTAGTATAGCTGCCGGTGGGAAGGTGTCAATCAGCCTGGTGTGTTGGATATACCATCCATCGGGATAGTTTAAAAATACAGACATCGACTGTTTAATGGATATAGATTAAATAGACGTGTGTAAATGTACCCAGGAAAGGCCTTATATACATGGCTGAGGTGGCGATGAGGATTATTAATAGACCTGCTGTATCAAACAAGGCCTACCCCTGAAACGCTATTTGTATTTTACATTTTTAATACTTTACCATCAGATAGTTGTTTGACCTGCACCAAGTTAAAAAAGACAATATTTAAAAAATATGTTAGGATTAGACATTTACAGAGCTACGTAGGACCCAGACTTTGGTGGAGCTAGGCCGTAGATGCTGAGCCAACGGATCTCACCCCACTCCCTCCCCATGTTTGTTAAATCCTCAGAGGAGTATAGACCGTTCTTATGAAACAGAAGAAAGGAATACATACTCATCTATGGAAATAGATGTTGGTTCATCCCTTTATTTCCTGTTCTCTTACATTCTGGGAAATAATAATAAAAAAAATCTATTGAAATGGAACATATTACTATTTCGCTGCAAGACTTCTTACAGTGTCTTGTGGTGGTTTTGATCTCTGAGAAGCAGCATGGTGCTCATCCAGAGTCTCTTGTCTTCAACCAAAGAGTAACTGACTTGGTAATGATTCATTGCTGAAGAATGAGAGTAATGCAGGGAATAGTAGAACATTCAGATGCTGGCATACTCCAATTATGTCGGTGACCCCGGATGAAGCAGGGTGGTGACCTTATTCTGTATACCTGTTTTCCACCAGCTGAACGATGAGACCAGTATGAGCTCCTGCAAATGTTATTAAACTGTATAGATCAGAATGAAGATTGTCTTAACATAGGGAGGCAAACAAACCCAAATTTACAGATATTCAGAAACCATAAATTTGTGAATAACTTGTGTTTTCTCCTCTCTTTCCAGGTTTGAAGATGTAATTTAGGACAAGTGAGTTTCAGAGAGACTTGATTATTGACTTGTCGCTTGTTGTAGGTCGACAACCAGACAGTGGACATGGCCACCAGTTTAAAGCGTCATCCATTCAGGCACGAGTGACACGCAGCCACTTACACTCTAAATAATTGTCCTTACCTCATATCCAGTCTTTGTATAGAGAAGTGAAGAATGACGGTGGACATGTCCTACAAAACTGGAGGGAATTGTCCGTTTACTGCTAGTACCACTAGAGGAGCTGCAATATATTGTTTCACAATGCAATGTGCTGCAGACCTGCAAAACGAGAAGAAAAACAAAAAGGGCCATTTCCCTTTGCTTTTCAGTGGATGGGGGTGACGTGAGGGTGCTGTATGTCAACCCGGGGCTTTGCCCTAAAAAGCCATAATCATACATACAGTCCATATACATTAATCATAGAAGGAAAGACTGCAGACAGGAGGATGCAGTGCTGTCATTTGGCAGAGAAAAATTATATCACTCTCTCCAAGTTAAATGTTTAATACAGAATGAGGAAAGCTTAATGAGGACTAGAGAGCTTCCATAAAAGATAAATCTTATTAAAACATGCAAAGTGATGAGCGACTTACTTTTGGGTGTTTTTTTGGATGAAATATCTGGAAGAAAAGATGTCAGTGTCTTGGACAGGCAGAAAAGATGCATCTGACCTTAAGCAGTGTTTTGCTTCTGTATTACTCAAGAGTAGTTATTACACACACAGTACCGTGCAGATAGACCCAACAAATGGTTCCTGTAATTAATGAAATTAAAACAAATTAGGACAAGAACGGCTATGTTATGGCTCACATTAAATTAAAAAGGAAACCTAACCCAATAATTAAAAGGATGGCGGTTATCTATCACATCTGAGGGTGCCAATGCTTTACCCCAGAATGCAGCACTTGTTCTAGGTTGACTCACCTCTACAGCATCATGTGGAGTGAGGTGTCTTCTTCAAGACTGGAGACCCCAAATGTCCTGCTAGGGTACCTTAAAGATGTCACCCGCTACAAATGTTCTTATGGCTGGGCGTCTGAGGCTCCAGGTCATGAAAACCCAGGGAGCTGCAGCTCAGGAGAAAGCTGGAGTAAGATTTAAACCAGTAAGGACAAGGAGGTGAAAACATGTTTACCTCACCCTCATCTACTGAAAGGCATCTAGTGGAGTTACCACTTAATAGCACATTTAAAGCCTATATAACCAACAAGCCTCTTGTACTGTATTTTTAAAGCTGAGAATCTGTGTTAAATCTACTGCATAGCTTTTACAGAGATTAATTATGCATAGGAAAGCTTTGCTTAGTCAGCCAGCTATCGCCCGATCCTAAGTGTCTGCACCGCGACTGGATGACACAGTTGTTCTACAACCACTACAGTGCGAACTACAAACACCTCGTCTTGCTGGATATGTTCAGGATGACCGCACAGTTAAGAGGACTGTGTTCTCAGCTGTAGCACATTAGCATCAGAGAAAAAAAAAAGAATGGGAATCAGGACTATACAACCTTGCAGTTTTAAGTCGCTGAACAGTGAAATCATTTTCTATGTATACAAGCTCAGCACAGACACCATGCTCCAATCCATGGACGAAACCTCAACAGGACTGCTAAATCAACGATTGCAACTTCAAGAATTACATTCCATACATTTCACGCTGGAAAAGGCTGTTAAAGTGTGACCCATCAATTCACTATATATGACAAACTGGCTTATTCAACATGGTAGAGAGGACAAGCCAAGTAACCCAGAAGCAGCTAAGCCAAAGCCATTTTTTTTTTCTTCGGTCTAAATTCAGTAAAGTGCCTTGTTTGGCTGCTCTGGGTCACCGGGCTTAGGACAATGTTAGAGCGCGACTTTGCTGAATAAAACTGAAAATTTGGAAACACGGTTACCTGCTGCAGATCCACTAATATGACCTCTAGTGGCCTGATTCCTAGGACCAAATGGCATACGAGCTCATCAGTCATGCCAGTGCAACCAAAACACGTCTGCAATTGATAGTAGAATTGGAAAGACTCATTGCTCAATGTGAGCCAATGGTTTTCCACGGAGAGAGCTACTCTGTGCCATGTGGACACAAGAACCTGGCATTGCGCAATGCTGCACAATAAATTACAGCTCCTTTTATAGCCCACTCCAGCAGACTCTTTGGTTCTCATTAATTGCAGACGATTTTAGTTGCACTACCCACTTCAGCGGGACTGGACAACGCCTAAAAAAAGACAGCTGGTTCATACATTTCTGGAGCCTTTGTAGTTAAGGGAAACGCCTGATTTCCCGCTCCCTGTGGGGTAATTTCCTCAGATACCATGCAGTTTTCAAACAAAAGGAAAATGACAAAGCTACCAGAGTGTAATATATCATTTTAACAAAATTAAACAAGAACACGTTACACGTGGGAGGGCACAGTTATATTGATTTGTAGACTTGTAGACTGATCTGTCCCACTTTACCTGGCTCCTGAGCATCAAGCAAACCTGTGCCTATATACTACAGAACAAACAACATACAAACTACCATTAAGTGTTCCAGGCCTAAGCACTTTATAGACCACCCTGTTATTGGTATACAACATCTACTGAAGGCAGTGAGGATTCCCAAAATGTACATGGAAAATGATCTCTGCATTATGTCCTCTCAGAACACGATGCAGAGTTCTCTTACAATTCTGTTTCTAATACAATAAAAAGGAGAATTTCATCAAACGCTGAAAAGAACCTAGAGGTAGTACCGGTAAGTGAATCTGGGAATGTGTAGCAATGATTGGTGGTCTACTCTTCGGCTGTCATTAGTCTCAGGGTCTTCACATCATATCAGCAGGCATGGGCACCTGACAAATAACGGTCTTATTTACACAGATAAATGATGGCTTTATAGGGGTGTAATGGAAGGATGCCAAGTAAAATGGGCAGTATGAGCCTCAAGAAAGTAATGAAACCAGAACAGAAAACCAGCATGGCAGTTCTTAGACAAGAGGGGTTCCCCACATGCCCTGACTCCCATCTTTAACCTGACCTTTACACTTAAATCCCAATTTCCCATCACTTTCCATCCCAGTTACAGTGGTGACCAGTACAATAGGAAAGGGTGAAACTTACCAGCGGGGACAGACAGCAATATAAACCTGAAGAGGTACAAACCCATCCTACTCTACCCAAAACTAAAAGAAAAAAGCGACTGGCTAGATAGAGATGCCCTTTGAGGGGAATTTATCAAAACGGGTACAGACAAAAACTGGAGCAGCCGTGCATGACAACCAATCAGCTTCTATCTTCAGTTTGTTCAATTAAGATCGGAAAAAAAAAAAAAAAAGAGATGGTGATTGGTTGCCATGCACAGCTGCTCCAGATTTTGTCTGCTCCAGTTTTGATAAATTCCCCTCTGTGAGTCTTACCCTAACATGTACAATGAACCATGCACCCAATCTGTAATCCACTTATATGTGCATATGGTTTTTCCCCATTCTGTGTAGCCACACGTTTACGTTACAAGTATATGTGAAAATGACACCATCCACTCTTATGTAAACTGTGAACCCCAATATGTAGGATTGGCTTGCCTTTTCAACGCATTCAGCAGCAGCAGCAGCAGCAGCGTTCCTGTCCCTCCTGCAGAAAGAATGAAAAATGATCAGAAGTCTGTTTATTCACAGTTCTCTGTGTATTTTAGAGACTGTATGACAAACATGTGTTTCCTGTTTTCATTGAGAAGAAATACAACTGTGGCATTAAATGTTGAATCCGGGGATAACTGTGTTCTTTAGAGTGAAAAATACATTTGTTAACCATTGCCATCACATCATTGTCTGTGACCTAAATTCTACTCTGGCCAGTGTTCCGCCAAGGGATAGATTTTTTTTTTTTTTAAATAACAGCGCAACTTTGTCCAATACAAAAGTCTCCTGAAAGCTTTTATCCAGGTTATGTGCATTGAAGTTTATTCCACACTTTGAAGAAGAACTCCGGTCTACTAAAAAAGCAGAATGTTGTTTATGAACAATCCACATTAATACTTGTACCTTCCTTTCTTTGGTGCAACAAAACAGAATCTAGTATGTAGTCCGGGGAACTGACCCACTGTAGAAGTCTATGATATCAATTACATCATGGTAGCTGATTTATTTTTCCTGATTCAGACCCGCTCAGCTATGATATGCTGATGAGAGGCCACATGTGGGTCCTTATTGATTTAATTCCTCCACAATTACCTAACTGTACACAGGTGTTGGACCAACAGTGGACAGTCACCACAAGGCTCCCTGTGCAAGGTCAGTTTTTGGAAGCCCCCTAGCCAAGTAAAAACACATTGACTTGAGAGACGTGAGCTGGGACATTGGGAGGGCTCTCAGCACCCATCTGAACCCTGACTAATAGAAATGGGCCCCTAAGTTCCAAAAGGCCCTTTTGCAAGCTGCACAGATTGTATGTGCACCCCTGTTGCCGTGAAACTCGTTAAATATGTCACCAGCACACCATATTGAAGTGAAGAACATGTCTGTTTATTGACACTTCATGTCAAAACAAATGACAACGTTTCAGGGCCACACAGGGTCCCCTTCATCAGGCTTGAAATAACGTTATTTGTTTTGACATGAAGCGTCAATAAACAGACGTGTTGTTCACTTCAATATGGTGTGCTGGTGACATCTTTAACAAGTTTCAGTATTGGCGGCGCCATCCACGGTCATTTCAAGCACCTACGCTGATAGGGATACCCGGTAAGGAGTGCAGCAGGATTCTGGAGTACCTGTTGCCCTGCAGATGCCTTAGAGGCTGGGAACACCATAAACTTTAAAGTGCAGTAAGAGTCAGGTGGAAAACCTTTTTAATGCAGACACCAGCAGCTGGAAACAGCAGCATGGAGGGCGAAGCACGTTTGTGGTTGTGTACAAATATAGCTGAGAGTGAAAAATAACAGACTGAACAACTACGTTTCCTTTACAATACTTAAAGCTTACAGTCATGTGATCCGACATCTGAATGTAAAATGTCTGCAGAAAAGAAATGGGAACGTGCATTGTTCAAGCATTAGTAACATAAAAACTTGTAAAAGCTGAGCATGCTATAGGAACAGTTTCTTGTAGCAACCAGCTTCCAAATCTCATTTCTCCGGTCTATAATTTACAAATGAAAAGTTGGATTCTGGT